TGTCTCAGAAATATATTTATGTTTATATTATTTGTATATCTGCCTTCATTTGCGATGTGTAATCGCGTTATGTATACACACCGGCCCAGCACTAATACGTTGTCTTGGGGATTAAGACATCAAAATACGGCCGAGGCCAGTCTGGAAGTAGCCTTTGTCGAGATAGTAGTGGACGACTACCCCCACCAGTTCAGACTCACTTCACCGCATCTTCACCTCACCTGCGTCATTTAAAGATCCCAGCTGTATCATCGCGAGTCGTTTAGCAAAGGTCAAGCAATAATGTATATATACATTCATAGATGTATGTTGTAAGTAGTGTTAAATAAAGTTTCCGGAGGGTCAGGAAAAAAAAAAAAAAAAAAAAAAAAAAACATCGCGAGTCATCGATCAGGATCGATAGGCATATCGATCCCCCCACCATCGACTGCTGTGACAGCTGAACTTCAGGTAACTAACCTCTTTGGAAATATAGCCTCCAATTTGGAATATTTTCGTTCAGATTCTCTCACCGTTACCACATACATTTTTTTTTCTCTTGGTTTACCATAATTTTAGAAGTTGATTTTATTTATATTTTGCTATTAATGGTTAATTTGTTTTTATTTTCTCTGCATATTGTATTTATGTTTTATTTCTCTCGCAATTTTACACCAATATTTATTTTAACTCTGGTACATAATTAGATCTCAATAAATTGAAAGCATTCAAAAGGGGAATTTTATTTTACATTTTTTTTACTTATTGAAGTATTTCCATTTTTTAATATTCTCTTGTGCATGCATTTGTTTTTTTCTTTAATGTTTTACAGGTCTCATTTTTACTCTTTTTATTTTTTCCTTCTTTCCCAAAATTTAATTTTACTCGAATTTTCCCACCATTGAGGAAACGCACCGGGGAAAGATCTGTACTTCGATTTTGAAGTACCCCTGACCCCAACAGTATACTTCTTCTACAATAGCCGATGGAATACCACAAAAAAGAAATAGTATTGTTCTACGTAGATTGTAGTTCTAAAAGATATGCTCTACAACACGAGTAAAAGAAATCAGTGATCTTATTTCATTTTTTTTTCCACTTTAAACACAAATATTTCTTAATTTTTATTAAAAATAATATTTTATCAAATATAAATAACCTTGGGTAGGTTTTTTTTTTTAAGTATACTTCAATATTTTAGAAATTAATTTAAAAAATAAATAAAGCTACTAAGTATTTATAGAGGACCAGAAAAAACAAATTGAAGGATTTTACGACAAATGAAGTACGTTTAGAAGTGAAAAGAATAATCAGGAAATTCATTTTTGTTGTTTTCAAAGAGATATGGTACAGCAAAATTAATAGGTATTTTACTACACCGTTATTAATATTATTTTTGTAATTTATTCGCTTTATTGAAAATTATCTTTCTTATTATTATTTTTCTTTCTCTTTTTGCACCTATCAGGGTGAAGGTGACACAATCCGTGAATTGCAGATTTCATAGTATTGTGGTAGCCTTCATGACCTTGCACGCTTACCTACTAAGAGGACTTGATCCTCCGACCTGCGAGAGCTGCAATGTCCATAGGACAGTAAAGTATATTATACAAGGCTGTCCTACATTTGAAACTGACAGGAAAAAGTTGGACATGGCACAAGCGTAAAAGCAAATCTACAAGACAGCGAAAGATCAGTTTAAAAAAAACATTAAGATACTTAAAAGCGATAAAATTTTATAACAGAGTTTGATTTGAAGGTGTTGCTAATGACCCTATAGGGTAGAGGCAACAAAAAAACAAAACAATTGTAATGATTGTTGTTAGTTAGGATGGCACGAACAGCACACAAATTCACAGGTACCAGACGTTGATCCTTCGTTCATTCATACAAGAAGTAAACTGGACGTGTCTTTTGATTTTTGTTTTTTGTTGGTTTATTTCTTATAAATTTGAATTCCTTTAATATAATTTGAAATATTTTAATCTTATTTTATACAGCTTTAATCTTATTCATACAAAAATGTTGATATTATATAAAATTTAATGTAATAGTAAGAATACGTGGACATAGGCCTAAAATTTTTCGACTTAGAATCACCGAAAAAAGTTTCCTTGGAATTGGTGGACCCATATCCGTTACTTCTCCCAAATGACGTCACGGCGTCGTCATTCTAATGGCTTAGTGGTTTCACATCTCTATGGATCTGAGACAGCAAATACCTATTTGGATTGTTGACAGAGAGGAGGTTAGTCATGGTTTCTCCACCAGCATTTCATATTCTTTCTGATTAATTGATACAGTGTTTTACATGAAATAGAATTGTTACTCTTTTCCATTACTAAGAAACAGGTGTTTTAAATTTTATTTTGGAAATCTATTTCATTTAAATGCCATGTCTTCATTCATTAAAGGTTTAGGATTGGATCTGTTTGATTTTAAAAACAAGTTTGTTTGTATCACAGAAGAAAACAATGCTGATGCTAATTTTTGCATCGGAGCACTGATAAGTCAGGCATTGAGTGATTCGACAGGTGGAGTTTGTCTGCTTGCCTTACATCACAGCATCTTGCACTACTATCATGTTGGTATGAGGCTTGGCCATAATCTCTCTTCCCTTGTGAAAAAGAGATTTAATGTAGTTGATAGTGTTGATATTTTGGATTCCACAAATGGGCTCAAAGACAATGTTGAAGAGTTGTTGAAAACAACATTCTTTCTTTTGAAAAATAAACTTGATGAAGTAAGGAAAAACTGTGAAAATGTATTTATTTTGATTGACGATTTGAGTGATTTTATTAATATGGGACTATCTGCCAAAGACATTATATCTTTTGTGCAGTATCTAAGGCTTTCTCTGGAAAATGAAGAGACTCTAGTTATTTGTTCTCATTCCAACAAAGGTGATGAAGATCAAGAATTCATTAAGAATTTTTTAACACTCACTTGTGATCTACGGCTCGACGTCAGAAGTTTAGAAACAGGTTTTTCTAAAGAGGTAACTGGGAGTATTACATTAACTCGAAAAGATATGAACAATGTCTCTTGTTGGTCCCCTTCTGCTTTTTATCATTATAAGACTGGAGAGAGAACAATTAAAGTTTTTTCACCTGGAAATATTTCCTTTTCATATACTGTATAAATTTATTTTATAAGTACTTTATTAGTTGTAAAATAAATTTTTTATTTTTTTAAAGAATTGTTTTTCATCTATCAGGCAATTGTTTTAACAGTTTACACATTGTTTGTGAATAAATTAGATTTATTTTATTGATTCATATTTAATTTGTATTTATATAATAATTATATATTTATGATATTTTTAAACTAATTGCCTGACAAAGTGTATCAATTTTCCTTCTCCATTACACTTTTTCAAAAATAATCCTACTCAAAATTAATTATACTTGAGAAGAAGTTGGGTGCGGTCAAAAGTAATATATAACATAATAGTATATTTATTGCATTGTCCAACATTTCGACATATGTTGTAGGTCTTCTTCAGGGTATTCCATCTGACACTACTGAAGGCAGTAGTCGGCGGTGACCGGTGACTAAACCATATTTGATTATTTAAGTTGATGCTGGATACAAAACGAAATCATGAATTATTCAGTTTAAAACTGCAATTAGTGTGAAACTCAATTGATGTCCAATCAGAGGATTAGTGAGAATAATCTTTATTTTATCCCTAAACATGCAAGACAAACAATATGTTTTAATTTAAATGTTTAAGAGCTATCGAAACTTATTTATAGATATATAAATTTATTTATTTCTCATCCTTCCTTTCCTATAGGCAAAACAGGTGTCTGTAACTTTGTGGGGTTTGCAAATTTTGCCACTAAAAATCTAGTCATGTACCAATTCCCAGGCGGCCTCCATCTTCTTCAGCTTCTCTGTCCGGCAGTCGTCCAGAAAACGCTCCTCTTAGAATCTTAAAATAAGCAGGGCCAATTTTGGTTTTCTACCCGTACAAAAAAGACTTAGAATATATATATATAAGAAAAAAAAAAGTAAGCCATTAGTATTTTGGTTAAAGGAAATAACTAACCATTTTAAAATACAATTCCACTGATACCGCCCCCTGCAATGGTTGAAATCCATTACTGCCTGTATATTTCACTATGCACTGTTCATCATAATGGCCAACTTCTTCATCATTAAACATCCCAGTTTAAAATATTTTTATATGAAATCATTAGGTTAAATTTAAAGTTGTTCATTTGAAACACAAGCGCAGAAATAGCTTGGTAAGTATTTTAAGTTGAAAATAAGACCAGGGGTTGTCTGCACTTTTTAATCACCTGAACGATGTGTTTGTTTCTTGTTCATTTTGAATAGAATATTAGGTTGTCCCATTAGTCCTTTCCTTTTTCTTTATTTGTTGTTTAAGGTTGATTTACTATGTTATATATGAACCATTCTGCTCTATAACCTTCTTCCATCTCAGGAACCTTTTTTTCTAAATTCTGGAGATGTGCAAAATATTCATCGAGATGTAGTTTTATTTTGTTTTCGGGCTTGTGACATTAATCACGGAGAGAATTTTATAACAAAAGAAACAAGTAATGAGGAACAAGGACCTGAGAAGTACAGAGGATGAGATAGAAACAATCTAAACTGTAATAGTTTCTGTCATACAGTTTGGATTGTTTCTACCTCATCCTCCGTACTCCCCAGACCATGCCCCATCCGATTATTACTTGTTCTTTTGTTAAAAAATTCTCTCCATGAAAAATTTCAAAAACTCGAAAATTAAATAAAAACTCATCTCGATGAATATTTTGCAAGTAATCTCAACAATTTTAGAAAAAAGGATATAAGAGGGTCTATCAAAATTCAAATATAAGGTAATCAATAAATACAATAATATTAAAAACTAAGTATAATAATAAAATATTACAATTTGAGTATTATATATTTACAGTCAATATTACAATATATAAAAATAATGGGAACATTAAATATCTATAATTACATAACTAGTATAAATGTATAAAACATCAACAATTCAAGTCTTAGCTCCATGTAAGAGTAAATATATTTTTTAAATTCCAATCTGTTTCAACGATCAAAACCTGAAAGAAAATATACATTATTTAAAAATGTTAATCAACCAGGTTATAAATAATATATATTCTCTACATCAAATAGAAAAAAAAAAAACACTCTTAACCAAAGGTCATTCTGATAAAAATAATAAAAAATTGTGAAGAGGTTTTCTTGGGAAAAAACAAAATTATAGAATATTTTATTCTAAGATTACTTCTTCATTTCTTATGTTACCTAATTTTGATTATGTTTAATTCATTGGTATGAGCTTTGTTACCGTTATTATTATTTATTTCTTAGTTCTTTGTTACTGTTATTATTCTACCTACTTTATTTTACTTTAAGTTTTTCTACCTACATTTTTTAGTCTATACCTTTCACTTTTTTAAATTTTAATTATTTATTATTCAATGTTTATAGTTTCTTATACCTATTGTTATGGTTTTTTTTTTTTTTTTGGGTCCTTCCCTTCCTCGCCATTAAGGCTATATGGGATTTTCCCGGGCCAGGGAGTGTGGGCGGGGATTTAAAAGACTCCCCGGCACCGGGACACGAACTCGTGACTATTTTTATATCTTGGATTCATATGTCAGGTTGCCAGTCAACGGCGGTGCAGTGCACAGGGTTTAGCCCATTCGGCCACCCCGCCCACCATATTGTTATCTAGTTCTTTTCTTAGCCCTGGCCTGAACTTCGGCAAATGTGAAAATAAATACTATTATTTATTTTTATTATTTTATTTTGACTAATCAATCCAACCGTCTTCTCTTCCTTTATTAATTATATTTAAATCAAGCATATATATAATTATATGAAAAAAATCTTTAATGTGCAGATTAATATTTTGTGTTTGAATGCAAGTTAAAACACATTTAAATTTTTGAAAATTACTATGTTAAATTTATTATTTAAAAAACGTAAAAACTAAAATAACTGTTATTTAATCAATCAATAACTTACAGTAGGTGGTATGAAAGTGAAGTTTAGAGATTTTCCGAGGACATCAACACTTTTGATATGTGAAAAGTTGCCAAGAATCGTGACTTGTCCAAGTGTAAATGGTGCATCTCCATCATATTGCCATGCAATTACTTTACTGTTGAGTTGGTTGGATTTGGCTTCGAAGTTTATCAGATTGTAATTGCCATCTATCAATAAAAGTTAATTAATATACAATTTCTTAAAAATAATTAAATATTCATCTACCTATAAGCGGCATATTTTGCCAGAGAAATATTTAAAGGTTACTTTCATGTAATTTTTCTAATCTTCCAACTGTTTTGGATTCTAACTCATCCAAGCACATGAACTTTTAGATAAATTCTCATATATGTTATAAAATTTAATTTGCAATTAGCCAAATTAGAAAAAAAAAATACATATTTTCCCAAAACATATTTCATTTGTAGCTACTTCCAAAATTATAACCCACAAATTAAAAAGCAATGATGCAAATTAAACCAATTTATTTAACTTTTAATGATAATTATAAACAGTCTTCAATTGTTTTTTTAAAGGTTTTCTTTTTTTTAAATATCTTAAAGATAAATTTAATTGAATGCATATAAATACACATTTAATGACAAAAAAATGCAAAGAAAAATAAACGAAAGAATTACCAAATGTTTCACCATCATCAATGTACAAGGAACCAGATGAAGAGTTGGAGTTATCCAGTGCCACAAGAAGACAAAATGGATTCTTGCGACTGTAAGGAACAGACAATGTTAAATAAAACAAATTTCAATATTCATTATGTGAATGTGTTAATAACTCACTGACATGACAGATTATTATATTTCTAAATAAAAAAAAAATGATATTCATAAACATGTGACGTTCTTTTAGAAATAATATTTTGACAAACCTGGCAGTTGTAGTCTGAGCAGGTTTTTGGCAAGGTATTATCCTTCCACCTCTAGCAAGTACTGGTACTGAACTGGACTGAGGAGAAGGGATTGAGTAGCGCTGTCCAGCGCTGGTAACCGACAAAACAGTACCCTCCATTTTGGACCACTCATTCACATGGTACCATTTTCCTTTGGGCAGGTATGGTGTCACAAAACTAAATCCCTGCATAATAACATTTTAAATCAAATATTTTAAATGATGCAAAATTAAAATGATTTCAGAATTCAATAGGTAATCCCTTCCACAATAAAAAAAATTAAATTCTGAAAATACTATATGTTACTATAAATTTCTATTTCTATTTCTATTTCTATTTGCGCTTGTCAACAATAAGTTGACAATCAACAAATGTGATGGCGATAATGATATAATGACATGACAGGCATGGGGAAGGAAAGTACTCAGCAGTACCTCTTCCTTACTATAAATTTAAATTTTATTTTAATCAATACGTCTCTGATTCAGCTGCTTTATGTTTAGGTTAAAATTTATTTATTTCATATACTTTATATATTATTATTATAATTTCTTAAAATTATAAACAAACTGGTGCCCCAATAGTCGAAGCCCCAGGCGTGTTCTCTGGTTACCCAGGCACTACTTACATAGGTAATTCACAATTTCTTTTTTAAATACTTTTACTTGCTACTTTCACCAATCTGTAACTTAATCTTAACGTTTTGAATTCATTGTCATTTATTCAAATGAAATGCAGTGATTTATTAATTGAAAGCCATCAACCAGATAATTAGGTATTAGTTCAATCTTTTACTTTTATTTTATTTTCTTCCAAAGATAATGTGTCTTTTTTCCCAGACTAGAAAATTTGGACAGAGCCACTATCACTGCTTTCGATTATCGTAAGGACCCATATTTCATCTCCAGTGATCAAGCGATCATAAACCACTTCTGCAGTATACTGTTGTAGAAATAAGTTGCATGTGGTGGATCGGTGGATAGTTGACCAAGGTTGTTGGAGACTGTTTGACAATTCCTTGACTGTCTGATATGGATTTCATTGGTATTTGGATTTCATCAAAATTTACAACAACAAAATTTAACTTGATTATTTTCAACTAAACAAGGCCTTATAATCTTAGAATGTATTTGCTATGACTTAGATGTACACAATGAACTCAAAAATTACAATAACATAGTGACATTCGCAGAACTCATCAGGTTGCAAGCTAAATCAACATAAAAACAATTAATTTCCAAGTATATATTTTAACTCAAACCGATGACAATTAATTGAATTATTATAGCCTATAATAAATAAAATACACCTAAATTTTTTACCTGTTTTAAAACTGGAGATATCAGAAGACCATCTCCCCAGAGAAACTGTTCTTCCAAATCATACGTTGTTGGATCCTCAGGTGATCTAAAGATAATAAAAATAAGGTAATCAAATCAAGATTTGGTCCAATCATACATATAAATTTGAAAACATATAAAATAAACTACATTACTCACAAGTAAAATGTTGGCCTTACAACGGGAGCACCTGTGATATGAGCTTCCCAAAACAAAGAGTACAGATAAGGCAAGAAGAAATACCGTTGATACAAAACTTTAGCAACAACATCTTGTATTCCCAATGAAACAGGGTCTTGATCCTAATAATATTAAAGAATATTATATCAGTACTAAAGTTACAACGATTGTAATGTCTTAATTATAAGACAGCAGGCTTACAAATATTATAAACACAGTGGTAGGGTAGATGGGAGTTAAGGCCACATACTGTAATCCATAATAATAAGTGAGCAAAACAGTAGCGTCATCTATTGGTCATCATGACAGAGCCATCTACTGGCAAGCTCAAGTAGATTAGCAAATAGCCCTGTCTGGTGACCTGGGATCAGAAGGGCCAAAGTACAAGACCTGTACTAGTCTGAATCTGAGAGTCTACAAAGTGGTCTCCATGACCATGCATGGTCAAGTGATGTATAGCTGGACCAACATAAAGAAGTGGCCGGAAGAGGCAGCATGGATGCCAGCACATGACAAACCACTAAAAGACGCCAGAACACACAGTTCGACGCAGATGCCACAGAAGCCAGTCTCTCAATGTGAGCATTGATCATTGTTCAACCAGCCAGGATCTTCATTTATCCGGTCAGCCCATTAATAACAAATAGGCACTAATACTATAATCCTAATGTATATTTCCGTATCCCCCATCAACTCTTGTTTATTTCCAATAAATTTTATTCTTCAATATACATATTTTATGTTAACCTCATATTTCACATTCCGCATGAACACACCCTTCTGATAAATTATTTAGCATCCAGGTTTGATTCCCCCTACTTCAGGATTAGGGAAGGCCTGATGCCCCAAACACCAGTAGTTTGCTCAGGTATTAATCATGTGCTATTTTTCAGACAAAGCTTTTTTAGGTTACTTTGGGATCTTAGTTACATGTGCTATATAAATAGTGCAGTCTGATGATTCTGCTTTTAGCATTTATATTATAATGAAATTTTTAAAATACTGGTTTTTATCCAACAAAATGTTCATCTAACATCTGAATTTCATGAAAAACAGTCATAAATTGTTTATTTAAACACAAATATGAAAAACAAAATTAAAAATCATTTATCCAAATCCCTCATCTTAAGTAGTCACAACCATAATGAAAAGATAAGAGCTCTTGGTTATACCCCAGACTTTTATGGCGGCAAAGTTTGAAGTATGGAGCTTCACAGTTTTCTATGTACTATAGCTGTTTATAAAATCTACTTTTTTATTTTTATGGAATGAAAATTTAATCATTTTTAGAATTGATTAATTTTATTTTTATTTTTATTCCTACTTATTTTCCATTTATTTTGTATCTTCTACATATATAATTCTTAATATTTAACTACATTGTCACCCACTATATCTCTGATACCATCTTTTATTTCTGTATCTGACAACTTCTTCTTATTTTATATATACTTATATTTATTTTTTTTTTTTCAACATGTTTTGTATCTTTTGTAGCCCTGAAGACGACCTGCAAAGTGGGTCGAAACGTCGGCAAAAATTAAAATAATTAATATATTTTAATTTTTTATTTATTTGACCGCACCCTCGACTAACTCCTTCTCAAAAAATATTAAAATTGTGACGTTACATGAAGTAAAGGAATTTGGCCGAAAAAAAGAATTTGGAAAAAACATATTGGCCGCTTAATGATAAAATTGTTTTTAGAATATAATGTCAAAACTGCCAAAGAAATATCTGGAGATCTTGTAGATAGCACTCTAGTAAATAAAATGAAATTTATACTGGGTGATGCAATTTCTATGATGGTGACTGTAGATTTGACATTATTAATGGCAAAAATCAGTATAACTCCAATCATATAAATTTTAAAGATATATTTATAAATATATTAATATTATGTTATATAGATGATACTTACGATTGCATCATCAGTGTTATGGTTCCTAGAGAAAGGATAAAATGCACCTAGTTGATGCCACCGAGTACACAATTCAACATTTGTGTTTCCATTGAAACCACAAATATCTGCACCCATCAATGGGATACCAAACAGTGAAAAACTAAACATATCTGCAAAAAAAAAAATATTATTTAGTATTTTCTAATCTTTTTCATATCTTTTTGGAAACTTTAACAATAACTTCTTCATGTAAACTTAAAAGTTATATTGAAATAAGCTGTACTGAAAAATAAAGCTGAAAACTGTACGAATATGCTAATTTGAAGATCACGCAATCCTAATTTAAAAGTTTTTTTTGCATAAATAGATCATTTATTGAAGAAAACTTGAGGCTTTATATTGTCACTCTACAACCCATAGAAATGGAAAAATACTGTACACATCAATCAATATGGAAAACTTTGGGGAAATGTGCCAGCACATCTCATAAATACAGTCTGCAATCTCAGTACATAAAGTACAGGGACAAAGTTTTAAGCATATTGTTGCAACTAAGATCTTTTTTTTCCACGACAATTATATGATGACTTATCCAGATCAGGTTGCGAAGAAAGATAGTATTTAATTTACAAGAGATAGAAAGAACTGAAAATATTATTTACAATGAAGTAGAGTAAATTTTCTTTAAATAGTTTAAAACATAATATTAATGTTATAAAAAAACAATTATAGTGAAAAATCTCAAATCTTAAATTCCAATTCAAAAGTTGATGAATAAGATAAATGACTTTAATTAAAATAAAGTGGTAAATTATTGTTCACAGTGCCCTGATAAGCATGTCTTAATAAGCTTATTAACTCCTTTTACTGTTGTAATGATGATTAAAGCTTTTAAAAGTATATTCTGTCTTCTGGAATTCGAGAAACATATCCAGACCCACCTCAGTTGGTGTTCCTGTATACTTTATCCTTTGCATCCAGCAGGACCAGGTTGCATCAGATTGTGATGTACCTCACTTGGTCTCTCTTTGTCTTACCTTCAACCCTACAGAGGTAGCGCATTTCGATTGCTTGGAGTTGGCTTCAATGTTAACTTGTTATGGTTAACGACTCACAAGAGATTGTCAGGAATGGAAGGAAGGTATTTTCGAAGAGCGTTATTTTTATGATTTTGTGGACCTCTTTCCTTCCCAAAAACCCTTTCTTAATAACATTAAAACACCATCCAGCTGTCTTTATCCCCTATCTTATATCTCCATCTACCCAGCCATCCTCATCCAAGAGTGCTCCCTGATACTTTAAATCGCTTACCTTTGCCATTTAGGTTTCATCCATTGGGATCACATAGTCCATCTGATTGGTACTCCTTCCGACACATGATTTATGTCTTTCTCTCACTTACATTTACAGTCACATTTGTCTCTGGGTTAATTTCTCTTATTCTATCCTCAGTACTCGCAGGTTAAACTGGAGATTCTTTCAATTATTTCAAAAGACTACCAGGTCATCTGCAAAGGCCAGTCCAGTGAACTGGGTAAGAAGTAGTCTTTAGTAACCAAAATAAAAGGGTCTCATTTCCTGTTTGACTTTTCCACAACCACCATAAAAAGGAGCAGAATAAGGCTACACTACAACCATGGCAGATTCCTCCAGTGGTTTGGAACTCTTTAGATGTAATGCAGTATCCTGACCACATTCCTTTTGTTTTTATAAAGGCTTCTAATAGCATCCCTTAATCCCAAGCTTGTAATGACTTTACAATAATGCCTGTGATAAGTATTTACAAATAGATACTTAGGGAAAATATGATAATCAAACAAATAATATATACTTGGAGAAAATGAAGGGAAAATATAAGTGACATGACTTTCTGTAATATACCTGAAATAGATTGAGCCAAGTCATCCCATGAGGACATAACATCACCGCTCCAATGCCCTGCATAGTGGCCGAGCCCAGGAGAACTGGCTCGGGAGATGACCAACGGTCTCATACCATTTCTTACGTTCAGCATAGAGCTGTAAAAGTATAAATATTATATTATATTTTTATTCATTTCATCAGAATCAGTTAACAATCATACAGTTATAAAAAATAATACAGTACAAAAAATAAATTGCTTTTGTGTATGTATATATATATATTTGTGCAACAACCCACAAACTTCCTCTGCTACTCCACTCTTCCATGGTTCAACCTTTTCTTCAATTACCCAACGATTATTTAATGATTTGTGATTATATATAATTCACTAATAAAACATCAAATAATCGTTGAGTAAATAAAGAAAAGGGCAAACTGTGGAAGAGTGGAGTAGCAAGAGATAGTGTGTGGGCAGAGGCACAATTGTGGAAAACCACAAAAACATTACAATACAACACCAACCAATCCATGCACTAGGTTAACACCAAAAAATAAATAATATCATAACGAAGATAATGCTTTACTAAACAGCCTGGAGATACAAACTACAAGAAACAATTGCTAACAAGATAGCGACTGAAGTTGCTAGATACTATGGTATGCTGAGCGAAAATTTAATGACAGAGTGGAGAGGAAAAGGAAGATTTTCAGAAAGTTGCCTAGATTGAAGGGGATGCGAAGGTATATCTAATATAAGCAATACATCAAAATATCGCTAATAACAATAGGAAATGCAATGATTAGTGAATATGAGTTTTAATGTATCATGAGTCACTTATCTTAATTCTGGAGTATAAGATAGAAAATAGTGTCGGTGTTAATTGTTATTAATTAGTTACAAAATAACCAAGAGACAGAACATAAACGTTAGGTTATTATTGGAAAATTCTAAACCATACAGCCTTATGTCTCCAAAATGGAGGCAAAGAAAAACCAGTCAAAATATAAAAAACTCAGACATAACGGGTTTTCCTGTGTCTGCATTTTGGAGACATAAGGCTGTATGGTTTGGAATTTTTCCCATAATAACCTAACATTGGAATCGATATTTTATCAGTTTAAAAAAAAATTTTAACAGAACATTTATTTGCCCTGATAATAGAATATTCACAATCACAACCTAAAATAACTATATGTTAAATAATTAAAGGAATATTGATAAATATTATGACACTAACATATTCATAAAAAGTTACATAAGGGAATCAAATATTTAAAATATGATTTATTTAACAGACAAATGCATTAAAAAAAAGTTTAATTGTTTTGACCAATAACTATAATTAGATGAAACAGGCTATTGTTTTACTGATCTCTTAATATCATAAAGGAATAATAATATGAAAAAATATTCCAAATACTTAACAATATTAATCTTATGAAGATCAAAAGTTTCTCATAGCCTGCAATATTTCATGTAATGTCAGGAATATTTTATTTTTCTATGTAATAATCCTTTCTTTATTGTTGTCATATTGACACCCTTCATTCGTGATGAAATAATATTATTTAATTTTAAGAAGTTAATTTTTAAAAGTTTTATACAATCGATAAAACAATACGTTCATGATTCAGATTATATCATTAGTACAATCGTAATAATGTATTGAATTATGTGTATTTGACAAATTTGTAGTAGTTTTAAACAAGTAACAAAAATATAACTAGCGATACTTAGAAATCTACTGTTACATCCAATTTTCATATCATCTTTAAATTTTAACTAAACAAATAAAAACTCACAAAGCTGTAACAGCAGCTTCTAATGTAGCATAGACGTTATGCAAAGCATAATGCTGTACATCATGGTGCCTGGCAGACATGCAAATGGTTTTATAATTCAATTTTGCTCCATCCACAGCAGGAACATATGGAGGATTCTCAAGCATGTTGTTCGGACAGCCATCTAAGCTTCCATCAATCATATTTGACGGCTCATTCATATCCTACAGAAATAATTGACTAAGTTTGTTTTCTGTTAAACAATTAAAAAATAAGTTTAATACTTACTATTAATGATTTAAACTAACGTCTTGTAAAATGATTTAAATTAAATAATAAAACTAGTAATTTTAAGCTAAAATAAAAATTCAATAGACCTTCCCTCATTCCATCCTGCCTAGATTAGTATAATATTTAATGAGAAAAATACTGAACAGATTAGATTACCAATTATTTAAATAAAATATATATAGCCATATGAACATTTTAATACTTTGGAAAAGAGTGACTCTTCTTCTTTCCTGGAATTGACTGTTTATATATATATATATATATAATTTTTAAAAATTGAGATAGGAAAATGCTTTCTTTTCCAGATAAGGGAATGAGTCCAATAACATAATGGAGAAGAGAGAATTAATCATAATGTTCTTTATCTAATATATTTATTTTAAATTTTTAAGGTGAAGGTATTGAATAAGTAAGGATGAAGTTGGTTCACCAATTATTAAATAGCTGAAGCAACTAGGGCATTATTCATGTAATACACACATTCCTATTTCATATTTTTAAATATCTTATAAGCTTGTTTGATTTTTTATGATGGCAACTACAAAATATTGTTAAGTCTCTACACTAATCAAAATTATTAAGCTGATAAGCAACTAATTCAGGAGTGCTAGAGTGAACTCAAATAACATCAATGTGCTGAAGCTGTATTAATAACCGTAAATAAATATCTGATATCTTACTATATTAATCATAGAATCTAAAAAAAAAATCTGGGGCGCACATCATACAACTTTCATTTACCACTCTACTTTGAATAGAAATTATTTTATGGCATTTTGGGTATTATAAAATTGTTGAAGTGTATTTTTAAGGGAGCTAAAGCTTAAACCTTACAGCTAAGAACTAATTCATACCATTAAAATAACACAAACCCCATTATTATATCGACAGTAAGCAATAAAAACTTCATTAACTCCATCTGTTTTTATAAACTACATAACTTCAGTTTCTGAGTTATTTATGCCTAGAAAGATTGGAAATCACATTTGTATATTTAACCAATAAATGATTATTAGACATTAAACTCGTATTTTTCCGTTTTAAAGTTAACTAAAATAGAATAACAAGATTTTCATTGCCTGCTATTGATAGCTCAAAAGTTGTCACACTAATTGTAAGTGGATAATGTTGTGATTTCACAAAAGGAAAATTCATCAAATTATTTACTAATTTAATTTTCTAAAATATTACACGATGAACTTTTGCAATAAACCAACAATACCTAATTATCTAAACATAATATCGGATCTAGAGTTATTAAACAACAGTTTAATAAGTAGTTAAGGTTATAAACATATATATGTTTTACACATTCATAAAATATTTTTATCTTTCACACTAGTACAATGAAATAGTTGTTTAAACACTGTAATTGCCTTTGTTCAATGGATTTCATATACTTTTTTTCAAATTTGAAAATAATTTTAGAAGTTTGCAATCCATTAGAAAATTTCATTTAATTTCCTTGGAAACATGTGGTTTTCGTTAAATAATTTTAGTTTTTAGACATTATTTATAATTCTTTCATCACTCTCCATTACCTTCTATGACTTTCTATATTAGATATTGTTTTTTCTAAAATTTTCAACTTTCCAACGATATATAATAGGTATAATTTCTGACTATTATTTTCGGAGATTCAATTTCAACCTAAGCAAAAAAATTTTCTTGTTTTCTCCTTTATTCAATTATCAAATTCTTTCAAAGGTTATAGTTAGCCTTTTTCCTTACTATTAACAATGAGAGATAGTTAATTAATTAAAATGAAACAAATTAAGGTAATTTAGAGAGAGAAATTTTAAACATTGGTCATTTAAGCCCTATTAAGCGACATCAATTGGAATAATAACTAAATGATATTTAAGACCATTTAATTGTACATTGGTACACTAAGTTTAATCAAGATCGATAGAGCCATTTTTGAGAAAATTGTAGAAATGTATAAAATTGAAGATATAAAGTGGCACTACCGGTAAGCCGATTTTAAGGAAAAAGTTGGCATAACATCCCAGACATATATCAAACTTAAATATCTATTTTCAGTTTTATGTGGCCTTTTGTTTTTGAACTAGAATGTTAACATAAACAGACCATTTTGTGGGACTGGTTATTTGGACTCGGGGGACCTCAAAATATTTATTTCCGTTGAAAACTAAGATTAAAAAATGTTCACGATCACAATACTTTCCTTACTATTTATTACATATATAGGATAGGTACGAGAAAGTTAAAAATCAAATATAAGCATTCAAAGCATATTAAAAAATCATAAATAAAATGAATAATTACAAAAAAAAAAAGTTGCAAAAAGAATCAACAACATGCAGGTCAAATTTGAAAAAAGATATCCATCAAATTACGATCAATATATACAAATAAAACTGATATAATATGTAACAAAATAAATAAGACATGCATGCTGTTCAGATATAAACTTAAAATACAGCAGCACTTGACATGTAATAATAATAATACAAACTTACAATCCATGCTCCATCAAATTTCAGTTGTGAATGGAAGTCTCTTATCATCTTAAGCCAATAAGCTATAACTTGAGGATGACTAAAATCAGGAAAAACAGTTGATTTAGAATTCCAAACCTAAAACAAAAAAAAAAAAATAAATAAATAACTTCCAACAATATGTAACACAGATACTTATGACATTATAATAATAAAAACATAACAGTCCTAGATTATAAAGATCACGAATGATGAGATCAATTTTTTTTTTTCTAATTATCTATCTAATAACAATTAAACAGTTTCATATTAATACAACTGCCAACTGATATTGCTTTTCCAATGCCATTATATCCAATAATTTCAATCTATCTGTTCTTTACTTCCCTAAATATTATAAAAAATTTTCAGAAGTCCGGACTTGATATTCATATCAGATATTCCAGGACAAAATTATTTTCTTTTCTTAGCAATTGGTTCTTTTTTCTTCATCAATGAAATTCTCTATGATCAGAAAATTAAATCATTTGTCTCCAAAGTAATTTTATTCCATGATTTGATCTCATATCCTATATCACAATTTGATTTGTAATAAAACATAAAATTTTCTGATTTCTAATTGATGCCCTACTAGTAAACATTTTACCTCTAAAATAAAATAAAAATGATAAAAACAATTAAATCCTAATTCCACCACTTTACAATATGATGCTGAATACTAAATTAATAATGTTCCTAATCCTAAATCCATAGTTTGTTTTGTATAAAGATCTTTAACATTAATTATCTTTAACTCGAAACTTTCCACATTAAACTAATTAGACCACCTTATCTAACTCAAAGACCACAGATGGGGAACCTGCAGCATCTGAGAATATATATGCGGTCTCCATAAATTTTTATCTAGCATTCATAAATACCATATCTGATAAAAATATAGATTATGACAAGGTGAAAATTAATATTTATATACATATTTAGAAATAAAATACCCATGAAGAATAATAAAAAAATTTAACATCTCTGTCAACTTATATGTAAAGGCGGCCTCTTTTGCGACTAAACCTATATATAACCTCCAATACTAAACAGGTTCCCTGCCTATGGTATAGGCAGTGTTGGAAATAATAGAGACAAAAAGTTGGAATAACTAAATGTAAATAAGAAAATTAAACTTGTTCATTTTTCTTTCATTCTGATTGTAAGATGAAGAAAGCAATAGAACAAAATGTTTAGGACAGGTGACAACAGACATCCAATTCTAATTCTAACCCAATCCATTCTAAGTCGTATTGGTAAAGCAGCCTGGTAATAACAGTGATTACTTTGTATTGCTTCTTCCATGAGATTTATTAATTTATTTTTAATTTTAATTATTTATAATCATGTGTTTTTTATTAATTGTTTAATTCAAAAATTTATTATATTAAATTAATAATATTTTCCAAAATTGTAAACATAATTCACTATAACAGTAAAAACTGTGAATTTTCTATTGAAATTTGGAAGGGAATCTAAAGCTCGTATGTGTTAACTTAGTGAGAGCCTATAAAAGTGAAATAATTGACATGATATTATATCCTACTAAAAGTCAGTCATACGCGCCAAACTCTAGCATTCAAAATAACTACTGGCTTAATCACTATTCAACAATGCAGCTCGACTGGTATTGGGCCTGAAAATATTCCTTGCACATTAACAAAGTCCTATCTTATTCCTGTTTCTGGCCACATTTATTGGAACATAATATGGAAAACTGCTCTAGTCTGCACACTGATAAAACTTTAATGTCAATCCTAACCAAATGAGTTAAATACTGTTTGCCATTTCTTAATTGAACCACTTCACCACATTCTAGCTTACAAACATGATAAATTAAAAATAAATAAATAAAATAAAACTGAATTAATTTATTAAAAAATCACCTTTCCATATAATGGTTTTTTTCCACTTGGATCTTTGACAAAAATGTCAGTTTTCAATCCTTCATCGAAGGGTGGATATTTGCCTTTTTCTTCACCTCCACTAACTCCTGGATCGATAAGAATAACATAATGCATACCAACCTAAAATAAAGATGAATAATTAAATTATATATAGTGATTCGATTTTTAAAAGAGCAACACATAATTTTAAACAATAAATTTATACCTCATGCAGGTTATCAACAAATTTGGTCAGGTTCTTGAAAGCAACATCATCAATTGTAAAGTCATTTCTATTTTTCATGTAGTCAAGATCTGTCCACTGAGTATCCTGAAATAACAACTCAAGTACTTTAATATGATTTATTTAACATTAAAAACATACAAATAGATCAATAAATATGCTGAATTAAAATAATGCAATGATAAAAATTAGTAAGTATTTTACTTAAAATAAAATCATGAAACACGTGTCAAATGACACATAATGTGAACGGAAACCAAAAGTTTGAAATCACTAAAACTTCAATTTTTTTGTTGCAGAGGCATAAGCAACCTATTCTAACCAAAATTGGAAGGTCAAGTTTCATTCTGTGGATCCACCCGCATAAACCAGATTAGAACCACCACCAACAGAAATCGCTAGACTCGAGAATGATAAAGCAGACAAAACTTGCTAACAGCTCAGTCATTATGACCTCTACAAAAATTGGTTCTCAAAGCGTAGTTAGCATAAGTTGGGAAAGGTTGATGTTGGGTTATAAGATTTGATTTCATCACACTGTCTCGACATCCGTGCCTTATTAGTAGTTGTAATTGAATGAATTAAAAAAAAACATTATCATAAGTTATTGTAATTTCATACAAATGTGGAAAAACAAATAATTAACTCTCTTAAATTACATTAATAAGTCGTTATTTTGAATAAAATTCTATAAGAGGACAAGTAATATTCCGTTGGTAAGTGAAAATTTAAAAATAGTTGTAATTTATTTAGCTTCATTAACGCCTTTTTCTCTCTCAAAATGTAATGAAAATAGAGAACAAACGGCTAGTTTTAAAATAAAATTATAAGTATTTCACAAACACTACAAGAAAATTACACCAGTGATAGACAGGTTGGACTTTAAATGTAAATAATAAGCTTCTTTGTTGATTTAAATATTCCATTTTTTTCTAGATTGAAAACAATACCCTCTGTTGACAACTGTATGAACATTCATTTCGCAAATGAAAATTTTAAAATGCCTGCATGGTTGTTTCTATAGAGCTCTTGAGATCAGTTTGTTTCATACCTTTCTACTAAGTTTTGCTAAGAGTAAGTTGAAATTTATGTTATCTTTTCATCATCGTTTTCTTTATAGTTAAATCAAATTTTTATAATTTTTCTGAGATATGTCCCATTACTGGTTCCAAACCCCCTTCCCATTAGTAGAAAAATTGATTTTGGGGTATCCATCACTAGTGCAAAAAGGTGTTGTTTTTTTTAATGGAAATTATACCTACATGACTGAATATTTTTTTCAATTTTAGGTGTTGAATATAAACAGGAGACCATAGATATTCTAAATGTCCAACGGAGAAGTTTATAACTATAATAATCAAGACAGCATAAGGCAAAAAAGACAAAAATTTCCTTAGCTATGTCCATCACAGGTGTGCTTACCCTAAATCAAATATTAAACTCATAAAAAAGTATCAAATAACAAATTATTATTATTTTTCTTTTAATTAAAGAGATAGTAAACAAGATAATAATAAAAAAAAAATAAGGTGTGTGCTTTAGACCACACGATAAAAGTGAAAACATCAAAAAGATGAGACTAATATTATATATTATTACTAATATTATTATATTATAGATAATAGCTCATTATAAAAAGGATGAAATGTTGAGAATTTCCATCACTTACAGCATGCAGGTTCGATTTTTAATTTCTGAGATATTTTTATCCATATCTTCCATAAAACTCGTTACCATTTAGTTTTGACATTATTTTTCCATTTTTGCCTCCCTAACACAATGCCATGTTAAGATACAATTTTGTGTAATACCCCGTACATAGAGGATAAAATGCTGAACAATTCCCTTGCTTACAGCATGTAGGTCCAATTTTTATTTTCTGAGGTATTTTAATTCATATTTTCAATAAAACTCATTACCATTTGGTTTTTGAAACTATGTTTTTCCTTTTCCCCTCTCTAACACGGTGTTGCGTTAAGGTACAATTTTAAATAATAGCTCATTACAAAGAGGATGAAATAATGAACGTTGCTCCCACTTAAATTATGCAGGTCTGATTTTTAGTTTCTGAGATATTTTAATCCATATGCAAAAACACTTCAATTAGTCGACTCCAGCCGACTTTACCCATGCACTACACATCAGAGATCTGATGGCTCAATCCAATTCAATCTCCACAAAACAAGTGCGAAACACGCCAGAAGAAGTTTTCATTTCAAAAATAACAACAGTTAACAGTGAATGACCTAGGAAGAATAAGAGTCCCCGACAAATCCCATGGATGTAACAGAATGAGGATATTACTCCAATAATTAAACGTTTTACAGTCATTATAAATAATTAATTATGTTACTATGAAGATATCACCTTGAGATATGAATTATTTGAACACTTTTAAGCTCAATAATTCCAAAACAACATGATAGCAGACCTGGAAAACCCTTCAGAAATGCAAATGTTCCTTTATCTTTGAGCTAGATTTTATAAAATATAAAACTTAACTCAACATTTGTCTTAAAATTAAAATGATTCTTTATTCATTTTTACTTACAAAGGGTATTCCAGCAGTTCTTGTTTGATTCCAAATCTTTTCCATTTTATCAAGAGACTTGTATCCAAATCTATAGATCAAATAGTCTAATAATTTTATGTCATGATTATATTCAACCTATTTTATATAGAAAGCAACTGTTCAAATAAAAAATATTTTTAACAAATGAATGAAAATTTTTAATATAAAACAAAATACCTTAAAAATTTCTAAGAACATATATAAGAATCAATAAGAAGACAGTTGCTTATATATTTTATAAGTTAGCAAGTGTTCACTATACCTGCAGAGGTGGAATCCAAGTGACCAATATGGAGGAAGGTGAGGCTTTCCGATTGTTGAGACATATTGGCTATTCACGTCTAATGGAGTAGGTCCTAAGAAGACACCTATTATCAAAGGACCACCCAGAATTCTGTAGGTTATAGCAGGTGAAGGTTGCAGAACAACATCTAGCAAAGGCAAAATAATAGCACCATATTTAAGGATATTTCATCACAGATATCTTCTTAATTAATTAGAATTAAGATTATTAACAATGACTGGAAAGTGATACAAACATTTAATGTCCTAGGTACATAGGTTCACATAATTATTTAGTTACATCTTTATAAATTAGTAATATAAATTGATTCCATAAAATAATTATAATTACAATGCAAGAAATTTAATTATGCAATATGCAATCAAATAAAAAATAACCTACTTTTTAAAATATCACACATATTAAAAAAAATGTTGACCTGCATAACATAAATATTCTTTCATAACCAATTAATCCTAAGAATTGATTATTTTATTTTTCCATCAACTTTCTTCATCAAATAATAAATTCTTACTTTTAAAAACACTACTGGACTCTATTGAAAAATTGTTGAATGCTAGATATAATTTCGAAATTGTAAGAAGACATCTTCAAATTTGAAGGAATTGCTATTTATGGCTCAGAGAATCCAAAAACATGTAAAATAGATGTATAAAAAAAATAAATAATAATTAACTAATTACCATACCGTTTCCACTTTGGTATTTGAAATAAAATAGGCTAGAATAAGGATAAATTAAAGACTTCTAATAAAAAAATTGCCATCGCCAATTGGCCAAAATACTTTCCCCTATCATCATAGTCCTATTTAAGTTTAGGCACAGAAATAATGTGAACAATTGAGTCACAAGAGGTTTTTGCAAGGAATGTTATACTTTAGTTCTTTTTAATAACACAAAAACCAACCGAAGATCGGAAATCATGTCAACAAAGCACACTTAGCCTTCCTTAATATAATTAAATATCATTTTAGAAATTAATTATTCAAAACTCTGAGGTATCTGAAAAGAAAATGGCCTATTAGAGCGCTTCCAATGGGTAATTTCTAAAAAATCGTTTCCATATGATTATATTCCTCTGTACACATTTACTTGATGTATTTATACTAAAACAGTTGTAAATATAAAAAAAAATAAATAAATAAAAAATATTTAAAAACACCATAAAAAAAATTAGTACAGTATTCTATTGGGAATAATTATCTTTAAATCAATAATTTAATAATCAAATCATAAATCAATATTCCATAGGCCACCACTATTTAAAAATTAAATTAAAAATACACATAGTCATTCACCCTCCAATTTCCAAATCATAAATTAATATTAAAAAAAAATATATGGTGCATGCAACACACAACTTTCACTTACTGTTCAGCTTTGAATAGAAATTATTTTCTGGCCATGTTGGGCTATTATAACATTTTTGAATTGCATTTTTAACCAACTAAATCTAAAAGATTACAGTTAACAAATATAAAATACCATTAAAATAACAAAAATCCTATTTATTATATCACCCGTTGATTATGGATTGTAGAACTATTAGTTATTAAACTGTTATTTTATACTGCAAAGTTTACTGAAATGGAATTAAGAGATTTGCATTGTCTGTCATAGACAGGTCAAAAGTTGCCCCTTAATTTTTTTTTTTAATTAATGGTACCCACTTTATAGAGGCTGGGCATGCCCCAGGATGGTCTTCTAACCCCAGGGTCAATCCACGGCTAATGAAAAATTATTAGTCATTATCCTGATTCGAACCCAGGACCTTGAGCTCTGGAAGTCAGGGTTCAACCACTGAGCTACCCCGCTCCTTAAATATTATTAGTTTCCGTAAATAATTATTTACAATTTTTTTATCACTCTCTATTACCTTTTACAACTTTCTATATTAGATATTGTTTTTTTCTAAAATTCTCCGCTTTCCAACGATATATTATACCTATACCTTCTGACTAGTATTTCTAGAGATTCATTTTCGACCTGGATAAGCATTTTTTTTTTTTTTTTTTCTGCTTTATTCAACTATCGAATTCTTTCAAAAGTTATATTTAGCATTTTTTTCATAACTCTTAATAATGAGAGATAGTTAATTACTTAAAATAAACCATATTAAAGGTACTTTACAGGAAGACGCATATAAACATTGGGCATTTAAGCCCTGTAAAGTGACATCAACGGGGATAAGACCTAAATAATATTAAAGACCACTTAATTATACAATGAAACACAGAGTTTAATTAAAATCGTTAGAGCCGTTTTTGAGAAAATTATAAAAATGTGTTTCACTGTTAATATAAAGTGTCACTTACGGTTAACCGATTGTAAGGAAAAAGTTGTCAGGACATCTAAGGCATATACCTAACTAAAATAGATAATATCAGTTTCGTACGACTTTTCGTTTTTGAGCTAGAGTGTTCAAATACACAGACCATTTTTCGGGACTTGGTTATTTGGACTCAGGGTACCTCAAAATGTATATTTCCGTTGAAAACTCTGATTCGAAAATTTTCACGATACTTTCTCTTACTATATATTAAATATATAAGTAAATGAAAGTAAAAATACTAAAAAATTGCTTACCCATTGAATATGATGTACTGACAAAAACTCCATGTGCCAACCCATCTGGTTCCAAACCCATATAAACAGGGTGGGATCCATATCCATTAACCTGAAGAAAGAGATCAGAGAATGTAAATAATTAAACTAGCAAAAAGTTATTAGTGTATTTCTTAATCTATTATCTAAATATTCGATATTTAACAAACTCATAAATGAATAATGATTGAACAGATGACTATGAAAAAGAGCTGAAATTTCATATCCAGTATTCATTTAAATAATTTTATATAAATACATTTATTATTATTATATTTCACTTTAGTAAATATTTTAACACTAAAGTTTGTAATAGGCAAAAAATAAATTTATAGCTATATTTATTTTTTTAGAAATTGTCTTTGTCTCCTTGTGAGTCATTAATAAAAACAACAACTAAATTAAAATCCATCCATTTATGTGAATAAGCAGTGACGGAGAAACAATGAGTTGAAATATTTAATACTTGATGGTTGACCGTGGTGCACTAGCGGATCCAGCCGGGGAACACGCCCCCTCCCCCTCCTAGTAGATGAAAAAAAAATTCAAAAAGCAGCTATTTAAAGAAAACAGAAACATAGGAAAAATGCATCCTCTAAGGCGAATTTTCTAATATGACATAAAAAAAATTAATATCGTGACCAGTACTAGTCGATCCAGCCGGACCCCTCTCTCCCTTCAATGGTTGAAAAAAAGGTTCCGAAAAAGCAGCTGTTTAATAAAAATAGAAAGATAAGGAAAATTCATCTCTATAGAAGAATGTTCTAATGTAATATATAAAAAAATTATTGTTCTAAATAGCAATTTATTGGAGGAAATTTTATTAAAAAACAAAATGAACTTTATTTATTCTTTCGAACAACCTTTTATTCGAGCACAAGAAAATACGGATTTTCTCCCGAACCCAACTTTTATCCAGTTTCTATGGATCTGGAGGCATATGGACTCCAACTTCTTTAATGGAGTTTATTGTGAAAAGTGATAAATCAAAGAAATATCTTTCATTCATCCTTCCAATCTCCTTGAAGAATCCATGCGATTCATAGAACTGGTCACGATAATAATTTGTATATTTTTCATTAGAAAGTGTTGTTTTTTTTCTTAAAACAGCTGCTATTGGGAACTTTTCATAAAGTAAGGTACTAATTACTTGGTCTTCGATATGATCAGAATCTGAATATGATCGGTATCAAAATCGGAATTAATTCTTTGTTTTATCTCTCAGAGGACTCATTTCCAAGCTGCAGGGCCATTTATGGTAATCTTTCTCAGTTTTTGAGAAATTTGGTTAAGATTAGCATTCGTTGACTGTGGTTATCAGCCATATCACTTAATCAAATTATTAAGTTTAGGTACTTATTCGACGCAAAATTTAATGTTCTTCAATTTCTTAAATAATACATTTTTTGCTTCGATGTCCTGTTTAGGAGTAACAGATGAAAAAAAAAAGATCAGATAAATCTGGCTTTTTTGTCAATAAAAATATTTCCCTTGGTGACCCGTGTAAGCAATTTTGTTTTTTACATGTCTTAACCCATATACAAGGTGTCCCATAAGTAAAGGGAAATATTTAAACGAATGATAGGAGAACTGAAGAGCTACAAAAAAGTTTATATAAACAATGGTTCGATTTTCAGATGGAAAGTCGGAAATTAAAGTTTTGTGATTTTTCAGGTGTCACATTTTTTTTTTTTAATAGGAAGTAATAACTAAAAAACTGTTTAATCTATTTCTTTCTTTTGAAAATTTCTTTAACGTAAATATTGAAACAAACATAAAAATGTGCTGAAGAATAATGTAGTTACCGTTAGGCCAAAGTAATCTAATTTAACCATTTTTTAAGTGTACTAATAAAAAAATCAATATCACTTACATTATTCGCTGGAACTCTGTCATGGTTATGCATTGTAACTGTTCGCCACTGAGTTCCAACTCTAAATGTATGCCTCGAATCTCCCAAACCAAAAATGTTATCTGTAGGAATTTTAGCAGAAAATTGTACGAATTGATCAGAAAATGTAAATCCACCAACATCTTCAGAATCAAAGCTATATAAACAGTAAAAAAGGTTAGTTTTGGCAAGACATTCATTATGTACATGTAGTATGTATAAAAAATAAAAATATTAATTATTTAATTTAAACATAAAAAGATCATAAATGAATCTAAGACAAACATGAGTGACAGACACTTAAGTACTTAGTATATGTTATTTTCTATCCGATAACTCATAATTTACCAAATATTCTTCATTAATTATTTATGTTGAAGTTTAGTTAATAAAACAATTTCAACTAAAACAAATATTCTCATTTAACTTTGAAACTTTGTGCATTTTATGAATGAAATCTTAAATTTGTCCAAATCTATTGAAAAACAAATTTCTTTTTTTGATAATCATTTATTTAAAAGCTATAACTGAAGTTTCATAAATCACCAAAGGGTTTGTTTTTTTAATACAGGGACGGAAACCCAAAATAATAATACTATATTTTGTTGATTCATGCAATATGATTAATAGTATATATAAAAAAAAAAAAACCTGTACTACTACAACCCATGAAGGGTCTTTGGGTGCAGTATTACGCGAGGAAGTAATGTTACAAGGCCAACAGTTATGCAGAGAGGTGGTGGGGCCGATATCACGCTCAACCGCCACGTTTTCTCTCTTAATTATTTTTTTTAAATTAAGGGTACCCACTTTGTAGAGGCTGGGTGTGCCCCAGGAGGATCTCCCGACCCCAGGGTCGTTCCACGGCTAATGAAAAATTACTAGTCATTAGCCGGAATCGAACCTAGGACTTTGAGCTCTGGGAGTCAGTGCTAGCCCACTGAGCTATCCCCGTTCCCTAATAGTATCTAAAGCAATAAAAATAATTTATGTCACTATTAAAGATAAACAAAGAGCTCTGAAAATCATTTTGAAATATCAAAGAAAATTTTGAAGGAGAACCAAAGATGAAATTCAATCACATTATCTAGAGAATAATTTAATAAATAATATTAACTTTGATTTCAATTAATTATTACTTATAAAAAATAACAGCTACAATTAAAGTTAGAAACATAAACTAAATATTTTCCTTTGAACAATAAAAATGTTGATACTTCAAAGATCAATTAATCTAATAGGTTCTGCAATATGTAGACATCAGTATGCATAAATTAGAAAAATCAAATAAAAAACAAACGTATTTTTAATGAATGATTTAAGTCTGACCACCTTATTATTTATTTCATAAAAATGTGGGTACTTCATAAGTAATATCAATTAGATATTATAATATATTAATGTGTAAATAACATTTACATGCTGACAGAGCACATTACAGTAGAAGACATTGAAATTACATGTTTTTATCATTCCTTAATGGTTTACATTTTAAATGAAATAATGCAAAGAACAGCAAATCACATTAGTGGCGAATAACAGAGACTCTCTATTATAAACACTTTCAGTTGTTTACTTTAAATTCAACTTAATAGCTCAATTTAATACTTTTTTAACAGTGTTATTCAGCATCTAAACAACAGGTAATAAAAAAAAAAAAAATTACGGTATATGAAAAACTGTCCAGATTTTCATATATCTTATTAGATAAATATCTCCCTTAAGACTAAAGAAAAAAATATATTTATAGAAATAATTGCATATCGACTCTTTTTTTTTTTAATAAAATGTAATCTGAGACCACAAGACTTCGTTAGCGTTTTGCAACAATATGTTTCTGAGATAAAGTCAAATGTTAATTGCAATAATCAAGTTTACAGAATAATGGAAACTTACATTGTAAGGTTGTTACTGTTCCTAATAATTTTAAAACCAGTTGAATTAGGGTTCAAGTAGAACCTATACAGAGGAGCTTCTAGAACTTTGCGAGCAGTTGGAAGTTCTGGAACTGGACTCTCGTACCTCGTATTTTTTTCATCTGTTATCTGTAATAATTTAAAAGATTTTTAAAAAAGCAATTTTTAAAGTATCAAACAGGCATTTTTATTGGTTGTTGTACTTAGGGAGTAATTAACTTATTGATGTAGTTTAAGAAATTTAGAGAGATCAGACTATACTCAATTTTAGTAAATAGTATTGCTCCTTAAGCGCTTAAAAGTCAAGGAGATCTCAGGCTTGCCAGAATAAATGAGATGTGGATTCAATATTGTTTAATCATTAGCTGAGAGATAAAATTAAAAAAATAAATATTTCTCATAGCAGAAGAATGGGGCAGTCTAATGGATGGCGTTTCCTACACTTAACAAAACTTTTTTTTTTTTTTAATAGAATATCAATAGTATTTCTTTATGTGAAAACTAAGATTCATTGCTCCACCCATCCTCCAAAATAATAGTACTTGATAACAAACTTTTGCTATCTATCTACGTTTTAAGTACCTGTTTAAAAAGAACAATTAACTTCACTTTTCTCGATACAAGTTTCTTAGTATTATTTTATCGAATGACAATGTAAACAACAGCATCTAATCAAAAATAGGAGCAAAAAAAGCAGAGAAAGTGTGTTAAACAATTAGGAGTGAGTAAAATATTGCATTAAATATACCACTTTAGGATGCCCTAAAGAAAATAACTAAATGAAGGATAATAGTCCAATTCTCAATAAGAATGTTATCACAATTATGTGGCAAAGTGTATTTTTATTTCTAATAGACAATGGAAGTATATTCAGACCAATAGAAGATACATTAGAAGAAACAAATTGAATTACTTAATATTCAAATAATACTTAAAGATTATTACTGTAAGGAATAAGTTGTTAAGAGATAAAGTAATCCAGTAATCCGATATGTAACAATTAGCATACAAATTTCTGTGTATTGAAGTGTTTGAATAAATTGTAATCATAAAAATTTGAATCGTCTGTGGAACAGGAAGAAATTTCGGAAAGGAGTTGGTCAAAGGCCATCTTTTAATATTTGAATTCTACTAATAATAATTAATCATAAAGCAGACAAGAAATTTCCTCAAACAAAACACTACATTTCACTAGTTTATGTTACTTTCTTAAAACTGTATAAAAAATATCGAAAGTAAATTCAATTATATAAATAGTATAATTATTAATTATTATAACTGCCTCATAAAAACAAAATAATTAAAATGCAGGTGAAAAATAAATTAATAAGGATAATTAAGAATACCTTTATCAGTAAAGCCTCATTTGAAATAAACTGAACATCCATAAATAACTTTGGAAGATCCCTGGGATAGGATGACTTAAATTGCTGAGCGAGGGTAGCATTGTATCCAAATTGTGTTTTCATAAATGAAGTATATTTGTAACTATTGTACTGCTTTGGATAGAAACAAAACGGAACATGCTCAGTAGTTGTTTGATAATAACAACAACCAAGAGCCGTGCACCCTTTTTCAGTAACTTCTCCTCTTGGTAAGCAATCAAATTTATCATTATCAGCAATATTTGAGCAACGGTCTGGACCAGGTGCAGGAGGTGAAGGTAAATTAAAGGAAAAAATATCGTCACTTAAAGGGGTTCTGATTGTTTTCCTTTCAGGAGAATAGTATTTCTTAAGAAATGTGCCATAATGTGATTCCCAAACACTATTCAAACTACTGTTTACCCGATGGGCCTCCCTCATCTGAAGGAGATGAAGTCTATTTTCATTAAAACACATGACATTACCTAAAATCAGAAGAGTAAATGCCACAACAGGAAATACAAAGAAAAGTAATATTGTCATAAATCTTCTCCATCGGGATTCAGGTAATATTTCAAATTTCTGCTCTGGTGGTGTCAGTAGGATAGGGGGCTTTTTCTCTTTAAATCCTGGTGAATAAACCATTTTTTCTAATTATAACTTCAACAAAACACAATAAATCTAATTCATTTCAGAAATATGCAACTTGATGTAAACAAGGAACCAAAGTGATAACTGCAGACACTGATAAACCACTATCACAACAGCCAACCAATGACTGAGCCAGCCTCTGACTACAGCGCCCTTGGACCAGAAACCTTGGGCGCCCTCTAAGTAACTCTCTAGGGAACTTTCGAATAGTCAAAGCAAATTTTTAATTTGTTGATAATAATACTTTTTCAAATAATTAATTGTGTAAATGTTTTAACGAAGAAATATTGTATTGGAATAATAATAAATTTTTCATAATAGTATACTTATATTTAAAATATTACAAGAGCGACATTATTATTTTTTTTACCTCTTGAACATGTCAACTTATTAATCTTTCATATTCAAACATTAACTTTACAATAAATTAAATTTTAAAACTTAAACTAAGTTATTCATATGAAAGAAATTCTCGGTTTTTACTTTAAAATGTACTAACGCAATAAATCAATGTTTTAAAGATTTAAATTTAAGATATGGTATGAAAATAGTATAAATTAAAAACATTAGCAACCAAACAATAAATAAAATGTCAAACGGGACACTAAAATGTGTACGAAAAGTTATTTTGATTCAATTCCTCACCATCGCCAAACGCGTATCTTAAACAACATTCCTGATAGACTTAACTAATTCTGTCAGCTTGCCAAGGATAAAATATGAGACAAGACAACACAAAGAACAGTCATTGTGATTGTAGCAAACATCTATGTAACAAAGCACGATAGGGATTCGAGCTATTCAAACATGAGAGTGAAATATAAAGGATGCGGTCAACAAATTATGTTTATTGTCTAATTTATATTAAAAAATGGAAAGAATTTTTAAAGTGTATAAATGTGGTTTCTAGCTTGACAGAACTTTTCTATTCTTTATATAAACACATACACACTAGACAAATCTTCGCCATCGATGGGTTAACAAGAGATTCGTTGGCGAAGATTCAGCTAGTGTAGACGGGAAACAATCAGGTGCATTCACACTAAGCCAATCTTAATCAGGATTGCCTTTGGTCGGTCTTCTGGCGGCTAACACCAACGGGTTGGTGCAGGTTATTTAATAAATTGATTATATGGAAGTTGAGATTCTTAAAAGAGGCCTCTGCAAAACCAACTTATTTAAAAGTTTACTCTTTAACTTCATTAAGAGGGCCTGCAGCGGTGCTCGAAACCATAAAAATCTGAACAAAATAATATAAATATATCTGACATCACAGAATCATCATAAACCTTAATGTCATGTCTTAGGGATTCTAAATCGGATGTAATATGCATCCCCAATCCGGTACCACGATATGACAAAGTCTATTATTGTCGGAGACGATATGGCGAACGTTGAACTATTCTATATGTGACTTAAGGCTGTGGTACAACTGTAATGTGACCATAAATTGATGGCCGAGTGGAGGAAAAGAGATGACTGGAGGTACAAGAATAGAATTGAAAAACGGAGGAGCTGGGTCTGCTTTTAATTTACGGCCGGGGTAAATTACAAGTTACTGTCGCATCGAGGTAAAGCCTTCAAACCATCTTAGATGAAAAATATTAATTTTTATATACTTAATTCAACCTCATATGATTATTATATTAAGGTAAAAAACAAAAAAAAAAGTTCTCTTGTCAAGATATATAAGTAATAAATTGTAAAAATAATAAAATCAAGTATGATCGCTATTTTTGAATTGTTACTGATCACCTTCCGAAATTAAAATTTTCGATTAACGTAGTTTTAAGAATATTATATTGATTTTCATCATTTATGGATCAACTCAATTTATTTTTGGCCAGTAAAATTTGCCAAATCATTGATGCCTCCTACAATTTTAATCCATTTTAGGTTAGTTTGAATGAGAAAATATTAAGTTTTAACTATTTAATCTTTATTCAGTATTAATTTTTTCATTTCTTCTATATTTTTTTGAGTTCTTTGTGCTTAATATTCGGAAGCAGTAAATTTATAGAATATATCTAAAACAATTTTCTTTACTAATTTTCAAAAAATGTTCTGAAGTGGCAAAATGGCGAATTACGGCTGTTATCCGTTATACGAATAATTAAATTTATTTTTATTTAAAAGTAATAATAATAAAAGTAATTCGTTACTAATAAGTGATTCCTTTATTTTTTTTTTTCTTCTAGAATATAGAACAAAAATGTTCATTACCATAACCTGGTTATGAACATCCATTATTTTTTTGTTTTTTTGGTTGGCTGCCAAAGAAAATATTATTAATAAAACTTATATTAAAAATTAAAAAAAAAAAAATATTAATGGTTACTAAGACGTCAGGTTTCGGTAAGCGAGTTTTTAATGTAAGTTGGGTCCGACGCCGATCAGAATCCATCCTGAATAGGGGAAGAGGGTTACTTTTATTCTGAAGAATAATTCAAGACTTCCTCAGTTTGACTAGAATAGGATGGCAATCTGTGCGATGACCCGCCCATTCTGCCCTAGTTGGAGTGTATGACGGTGTTAAACCAAATAAACTGACGATGAACAACTATTTCAAATGTTATCTAAACAGGAAAATATTGAGTTTCACATAGAGTAAATAGCACTAAATCGAAGTGTGACATTTAAAAATAATTTGGATATCAAATGATAAATGAAAAGGCATCAAGGAAAACAGAAAAACTTTAACATAATTATCATAACAAGCTTATCTTATCGATTTAAAAGGTATCTCGAGTGGTATGTTGAGTTGAACTTGTATTTAATCAACCAAAACCACTAGCGGATCCAGGATTTAAATATAGGGGAGGCATCAGTCCGAAAGCATTTTTTTTTTTTTAAATATAGATAACGATAATTATTTTGGAACAAAAAGAAAGGAACTAACTATATAAAATGTTGTTTAAATAATTCTTGATATTCAAATAAATGTAATTGCATGGACAATAATACTTTTATAATGATGTAGAGATGGTTGACCGTGATATAATATGAGAAGGAGTTGATCGGGGAGTGCGGTCAAATAAATACTAAATTATATAATTAGTATTATTTAATTTTTTTGCCGACGTTTCGACCCACTTTGCAGGTCTTCATCAGGGC